TCAAGCAAGAGGTTAGAGTTAGATAAATAGATCTGAGAATCATTTGCATAAAAATGATAATTGGATCCATGGGAGCTGATGAGATCAACTCGGGGGAAAAAGTATAAAGGGAGAAGAGAAAAGGGCCAAAAAAGGAGGCTTGGAGGACACCCACAGCTAGTGGGCATAACCTGGATGAAAATACAGCTAAGGGGACTGAAAAGAAGTGATCACATAGGTAAGAGGAGAATCATGAGAGAATAGTGTCACAAAAACCTAGAGAAAAGAGAATATCAAGGAGAAAAGAATGATTGACAGTGACAAAAGCTTCCAAGAGGTCAAGAAGACTAAGGAATAAAAAAAGACCATTGGGTTTGGCAATTAAGATATCACTGGTAACTTTGGAGAGAGCAGTTTCAGATGAACAATGAGGTTGGAAGCAAGACTGTAGAGCATGTAGAAGAGACTGAGAGAAAAGGAAGTACAGAGACCAATTGTAGATAGACTTTTCAAATTTAGCCACAAGGGAAAGGAGAGATATAGGATGGTAGCTTTTGGAGGTGGACAGATCAAGTGAGGGTTTTTTGAGGATGGGGAGACATGGACATTCTTGCAGGCAGTAGGGCAGTAGCCAATAGACAATGAGAGATTGAAAATGACTGAGAAGATGGAAAGAATAAAGGGGGAAATCTACCAGAGAAAATAGAATGAGATCATTTATAAAATCATTTGTGCATGTGGAGGAGTTAACCCTGGAAAGAAGAAAGGCCACCTCTTCATTTGAGATGAGAGGAGAAGGGGATAATGATAGAAGGCATCTGCATGATGTGAATTGAGGAGGAAGGGAGAAAAAAAGATCTCTTGGTTTATTGCCTCAATTTTTGCCTTAATTTTTTTCAGTAAAATATGAAGCAAGGTTCTCAGCTAAGAGGGTGGAAGGAGGGGAAGCCATAGCAGGCTTGGAGAAGTATAAAAAGGTTTGGAAAAATTGATGTGGTGAGTAGGATAGTGAATTGATTAGGGAGGTGTAAAAAGATTGCCTTGCCAACTTGTAGTCTTAGTTGAGACTAGATAAATCAGTAGTGGACCCAGTCAACATGGTTTCATGATTTTTGCCATCTTCAATCAACAGCACATGAGTAGGAGTAAAGGCAGTGGGAGTAATCCAAGACTGAGGTTTGGCAGGGCAAGATTGATGATAAGATAAAGACACAAGGAATTCAAGAGAAGAGGCAGTATAAAGTTGGTTCACTAAGAAGTTAAGATGGAGAAAGGAAGAAAATATAGGCAGTGATGCTCTGGGAAATAACTTAGAGGTAGAGTATTGGAGGTTATAGTGAAGATAAAAAATGGGGTTAGGGGATTCAGGGAAGAGGGGAAAGTAGAATCACAACTGATTCTGATCCAATAAAGGAACTTCAGAGTTCATAAACATGGAAGTGGAAGATTTGTAGGTGATGGCAAGGTCAAGCATATAAACATTTCTGTGTGTTGCTCAAGTGGGGTGAAAGGATAGCAATGACTAAGTTGAAGAATTGGGAGGGTGAGCTGTTTGAGGGAATATCAATATGTATGACAAAGGTTCCTAGTATTAGGGCAGGAGTTGGGAAGAAGAGAGAGAGCCAGGCACCGAACTTATTAAGGGAAGAAGGAGAATATCCCAGAGGTTGATAGACAACAGCCAATAGAATCTTGATTGAATGATAAATATGGATTGAATGAACCTCAGAGGAGGGGAGGTTACCAAGTGATGGTGGTAGAGACCATAGAAATGTCAATAAAAAGCAAAGGGTATTCCAACTCCTCTGCCACAATCTGTAAGTCAAGGATCTGAATGGAAATGCAGCCAGTGACGAAAACGGTGGTCAGGGAAGCCATGTCATTAGAAGGCAGCTAAGTGGGGGCAGATAGAACACTGGAGCTAGAGTCAGAAAGACCGGAGTCCAAACCTACCTCAGACACTTATTAGCTATGTGACTCTGAGCGAGTCTCAGCCTCTATCTGCCTGAGTTTCCTCTTTCTATAAAATGGGAACAATAATAGCACCTAACTCCCAGAGTTGTTGTAGGATAAAATGAGATGATACTTAAAAAATACTTTTCAAACTTTAAAGTACTATATACATGCTAGTTTTCATTATTCTTATTCTTCCTATTCCTATTAATAATCAGGAGGGGACCAGGTCTCAGTGAGTATAAGAAGATAGAAGGTGAGAAAGGAAAAAAAAGTGAAGATGAAAGCTAATTTGTTACCTATGGAGCAGGAATTCTAGAGGGTCTAGGGGAAGGAATGGGTAGCTTTAGAGTGGGATGTTGAAGTGTTGAATTAAGGGGAATAACAGGAAGGGGGAAGGAAGGAAGGAAGTAGTTTCCGGATATCTTCGTAGTATCTGAATATCTCCATATCTTACAATGTGATTGATTTTTGTGAGTGTTCCCTTTGTTGAAATTGGGACATTCTCTCTAATATGGGGGCCTACAGATTTGAGGGACCTTGTAAGACAATACCCACTCAAAACTATAGCTTGTAAGCTCCCATGAAAATATTTCCATTTACAGCCAGCCAGAGGACACAGTCCACCCTCCTCCCACCAAGAAAAGATATTTCATCAAACAATACAAACAAAGTGATAGGGGAAAAAATTCCTCCATGCGCACTTGGGTTACATACTCCTACGATATCAGGAGAAAATTCATGGAGGGCACACACGTGGGAAATAAGTAAATATATATACATATACATACACACACATACACACATATGTACATACATATATACGTATATGTGTATATGTATATATGTGTACATATACATATGTGGCCAGGGAAAGAGGTATTTGTGAAGAGGTATATGCCAGGAACTTTTGTGGCCAGGGCAATTCACACCTCATGCTGTAGTATTTTGGGTGTCATCTTGTATTGCCATGCCAATGCTTTATTGAGAGTTATATCTTTGCTCTCTGCTGGACATGTGTGTCTAATGGATAAGTCTTCTTTTCTGAAAATGCTGGACATTTTATTGTCTCTGCAGGGCATCTCCTCTGGACTTATGGTCACTAAGTTCCTCTCTACTATAATCTCTTGAGCTCACTGCTCATCACTCTTAAGGTGCAGTGACTAGAAAGTGTCTCCCTAACAAGGGCGCAATAGCTACTAGGGTTGGACAGATCAAGTGAGGATTTTTTGAGGATAAGGATGCTCTTTTAGACCATAACCAAGCCTGTGAGCTAGGATGCCTAACTAAAAAACACAAAACAAAAAGCCAGTCAGAGTACTTCTAAGCTCAGATTAAGTCCTTCACTTTGAACGCCTTTGTCTGGTGCTCATTCAAAGTCTGAGACAACTATTTTGACTGCCTCAGAAAATTCCTTTTAACTCCTATTTAACTTCCTGTAAGTATCCTCGGCCCCCTCAAAAATTATGCTAAAAAAAACAGAAAGAGTAAGGAGATGTGTGTATTTGTGTGTGTGTGTGTGTGTGTGTGTGTGTGTAGGTAGATAGTTCACTCCTAAGATTCTCTTTGCAATACAAATGAATCTGAGCAGAAAACAGGGATAAAAGCTACAGAAAGTGGCAAGACCATTTCCCTCCAACCTACTGATCCATTTACATAGAATCACAGAAATTTATCAGGCATAGGATTTAACCCATATGCTAAAGGAATCCCCAATGTAGTATACAAGACTGGTGGTCATTAAGCTTCTAAACTGAAGACATCTGGCCTTTATGTATATCAGATGAGATAATATTTGTTACAAAGCACTTAGTACAGTGCCTTGCACATAGTAGACAACATACGAGTGCTTATTCCCTTCCCCTACATCTGCTAGTATGTAGTACAGTAGTGGTAAAACAGTAGGTGCTATATAAATGCTCTTTCCTTTCCCTTCCCTAGGGAAGCACTTAGCTAGCTATCTGCTAGCACTTAGTATAGTAACTGGCACATAGTAAGTGCTATATAAAGTAAATGTTTCCCCCTATATCCTCTAATATTTAGTGCAGTGGCTGGCACATAGTAGATACTATACAAATGCTTATTCCCTTCCCCTACATCTGTTAGTACATAGTACAGTAGTAGGAAAACAGCAGGTGCTGTATAAATGCTCTCTCCCTTCCCCCGTATCTGCTAACGTTTAGTATAGTAGCTGGCACATAATAAGTGCTGTATAAATTCTTGTTCCCTTCCTCCATATCCTCTAATACTTGATGCAGTGGCTGGCACATAGTAGGCACTTAATAAATGCTATTTCACTGACTGACAGTAATAAAAACCCCTTAGCTTTTGTTCTGTACTCTCTCCCTCTACTGTATATTTGAAAAAAAATGCATATTTCCCATAAAGAGTTCTTTCTGCTACTATACTCAATCAGTCAATAAGCATTTATTAAGCACCTAGTATGTTCCAGGCACTCTTGAAACAGTCTCCACCCTCAAGAAGCTTCTATTCTATCAGAAGAAACAACATGTACATATATAGGTCTGTGTAGACAAAATAAATACATGGTAATTTAGAAGAGTGAAGGCTTAGTAGATATGGGCGTCAAGAAAGGTTTTGTGTAAAAAGTGGTTCTTAAGTTAGATCTTGAAGGCAAACTAAGGATTCTAAGAGAGGGAGGTGAGAAGAGAGTGCATGGGGAGAGAAGATGGAGTGCTATGTGGGAAGAACAGTAAGAAAGTCAGGTTGGCTGGACCAGAGAGTGCATGAAGGAGAGTATTATAGAAAACATTCCACTGCCTGTCCCAAGGCTTGGAAAGGACAGGTCAGATTACTGGTGCTGGGGGAAGATTCCCAATATTTGCTTATGCAGTCACATGACTGCTTTCTGTAAATAGTAGATAATCCAAAGTATAACTAACCAAGGGGAGAGGCATTTCAAATTTGATTGTGGTGCTCTGGTTTTTTCTCTTGGGAGTCACAAACAGTGGCCAGTTTCCAAGGTCCTCGATGGTAGTGTATAAATCCTTTATGAAAAGAGTTGGCCTTGCTCGATAATGACCTGTTTTCTTTTTTCCTTTTCACAGTTCCTTATCAGCAGAACCCCTACAACCCTGGGGGAGGCACCAATGTTATCCAGTGCTATCGCTGTGGGGACACTTGCAAAGGAGAAGTGGTCCGTGTGCAGAATAACCATTTCCACATCAGGTGTTTCACCTGTCAAGGTAAGAGGCCCACTTCCACTGCCCAAAGTCCCAAGCATGATGAGACCCCTTGAGAGGCCAAAGGAGCTGAAGCAAATACCACTCCCCAAATACTTGAGGTCCTCCCCCTACATTTTCTCAAAAATTTATCCAATCCCAAAAAATGGCAATAATTGCTCACATTTCTTTAGCACTTTGAGGTTTATAAAGTACTGTATTTTCTCCATTATAACCATATGAAGCAGGTAGTACATGTTTTATCATCTAGCTTTTACAGATAAGGAAACTGAGGCTCACATACGTTGCTCAGGTTCTCATAACTAGTAAGTAGTCAAGACAGAATTGGAACTCAGGTCTCTTCATCTCAAGTCTAGTGTTCTTTCCACTATATTATGCTTCCTATTTCATGCAGAGCCCTGTGCTAGGAGATAAGAAAGGGGTCTCTGTTCTCAGTCTCATGGTATTTTCTTACAGAGGTCTATTTCCAAACACAAAGGAAGGTGGGAAGGAACTTCTAAGGATGAGATGTCAGGACCTAGGCCACAGGGAGATTGACCATCCTGAAAGCTCAGATTGTCTTATTTGCTTTAATGCTCCAAGGTTCCATGATTCCATCAGAGTAGGTACTGCTTTCATCATGTGGATGACACTTTAGTAAGTGGCTCTTCATGAGTTAATGGGACCCCATTCATCAATTAGAGGTCAACCTCCAATTCAGGATCCTCCTTCATCCCAAGCCATCAGATGCCCTTTAATAAAAGACAATAGATTTAGAGGAAGGAAGGACATCAGAGTCCATCTTGTCTAACCCTCTCATTTTGTGAATGAGGAAACAAGGTCCCAGAAAGCTCAAATGACTTGGCCAAAGCCATACAAATATTAAGTGTCAGAACTGAAATTCATACCCAGGTCTTCTGACTTGAGAATCAGGACTCTTTCCATTATTCCTTCCATTGTGTTCTAAACTTTGGATAAAGATCTTTGGATTGGCAGATGCTTTTCATTGAGGTTGGGAATGGTGCTGCCTCCATGAAGTCTTCCTATAATCTCCTAGTCAATAATATTTTCTCCTTTCAGATCTACATAACATTTCGCTTTACCCTTTTCTAATGCACTTGTTTTATACTTATCTCTGTGTCTTACCCCAAATTGTAAACTCCATTAGAAAATGTACAGTGTCTTATCTAAACTTTGTATCTTCCCCCAGGGCCTGGCACAGTTCTCTGTAAACCTTAGGTACTTAAAATATTTGTTCAATGTTGAATGAACAGGAGGCTGTTAAGAAGAGCTGGCCATGTCAGAATGAGGGTCTTGAGGTTTTTCCTGTGGCGCTCCTTGGCTAAACCATTTCTACCCTCCAATATTTTATTCATTTTATAGGCTAAAAGTACCATAGATTAGAGTTGGAAGGCATCATAGAGGCCGACAATCTCGTTTTACCAATGAGAAAATGGAGACCTAGAAAGTTAAGTGACTTGTCCACGGTCACACAAGTGACAGCAAGTGGCAGGACTGGATTTTGAACCATGCTACATGATTTAATTGATGTGTGCACTTCTCTCTCTACACTGTAGTAACACATAGATGGAATTCACTAGTTGCTATTGACATTAGTGGTCATCCCTCTAATAATGCAGGTTTACCCTGATCTGTGCTAGTCTTCAACAGACACAGAATTCATCAACAGGCCTGGCCTCCAAGCTTTTCCAGATTGTTACAGCCTAGCCAAGCGTGTGCCCTTCTACATATCCTTTGAGAGCCCAGGGGCTCCTTCTCACCATAGAGAGGTAGTGGAAGAGAGTTATTTAACATCTGGAAAAAAAAGAACCATTTATACTATTATACTGAATTGATAACATCTGGTGGATCACAGCTTCTGGGCAAAAAAATATGAATGTCTCTGAGAACACCTGTTTTCTGGGTAATTTTGATTTCCTTCTCTGAGAGTAACAATCTTAGAAGGTTAGGGATAAGCCAGAGCTATGCCCTGTGTTAATTTTATGAAGTGTTTTGATTCAGAGCAGATGGATTGTGGATTATTCATAATCTTTATAGCTGATGTTAGGATTCATAGAATCATATTCGAAAGAGACCTAGGGGAGTTATCTGCCCAGCCTCCTACTTGCTGCAAGATTTTCTTTTGCAGCAAACCCAAAGAGTGGTCAATGCATTGGAACCAACTCATGAAGCAGTCCATTTAATTTCCAGACAGTTCCAATTTTTGAATTCTTCTTTATAGTGAGCTAAAATCTTTCCCTCTGTCATCTCCAACTATCAAATGCAGAGATCTTTTCTCAGCCTGGAGTCTAGGCAGGTCCTCCTCGGGCCATTTCTCATCAGTGGCTCCTGCCTCTAGTCACCCGGCCAGCCTGGCCCAGACCTCCTAATTCCTTTGATTCTATAGAGCTACACAGACAAGCAGAATCATAAAGTGCTAGGTCTAGGGCTGGAAGTGACCTCCAAGTCCCACCTCCTTATTTTACAGATGAGGAAACTGAGGCCTAGAAAGGTTAAATGACTTTTCCAAGTCACACAGATAGTGGTAGAGTCTGGATTTGAACATAGGCACCTTATTCCTAGTTCAGTAGAAAATTGCAGCACTCTTTCTATGGCACCATGCAACTTCGCCATGAGTGTTCACCATTTTCTTAGGAATACAGAAGAAAAAATACATTTCTCTTGAACCATTATCTGAATCAGTGCCCTCTGGAGAAACACTTTTGGTCACAGAAAATAGAAAGTTTGAGCCAATCATCTTGTTCTAGTGCTTCTCTCTGGGGCCAGGCAGAACAAACCTAATCAAATGAGTAAATGGAAAAAGCATTTGTTAAGCACTTACTGTATGCCAGTTACGGTGATAAGGACTGGGGTATACAAATACAAAAAGGAAGGCAGTTGCTGCTTTCATGGAGCTTACCTTCTACTAGGAGAAGACATCTAGAAGGAAGTGGTGGCTGGGTTGGGTATTTTGGTTAGGAGAGTCACAGGGATGAGGAATAAAGTCATATGGAATTTCAGTGACATGGCCCTTCTAGGAGGGGTAAAGTTGATTTGATTACTGCTCCATATGACATTCCTTTGTGTATTTGAAGGTATTGATCATATCCCCTACTAAGTCTTCCCTTCTTTGAGTCAACCATTCCACGTGGCACAGCTTTGATCCTGGTCACTCGGTTTTAGAAAGCTGTAGCTGTGCAAATTTCCCTTCTAAGATCTGGTGCTCCAAATTAAGCACAAAGCTTTAAGAGTTATATCAGCAGGGCAGAGGACACTAGGACTATCATCTCTCTTGTTCTAAACAATAGATTTCCATGAAAGCAACCTAAGATATCTTAGAGGCCATCTGGCTCAACCACTTCATTTGATAAAAATGAAGAAACTGAGGCAGAGCAATATGAAGTGATTGACCTATGGTCATTTAGATGGCAAGTCATGGGGCCAGGAATGGAATCCAGGGCCTCTGACACCAGATCCAGTGTTCATGGAACTGCTTCAAAGCCTGGAAGGAAAGCAGTGTGAGATGTAACATTCCCATTTTAAAAATTAGGAATCTGAGGTTCATAGAGATAAAAGAAAAGCAAGCACATAGAAATCATAGAGCCGACAGACAGCTAGTGATGGAGCCAAAATTCAATCCCAAGTCTGCCAACTCCAGGCCTAGCTTTATTCCTGTTATTTCTTGTCTACATTAGGGGGAATAAAATTGTTGTGTTAACTTAGTTCCATAAAAACATCATGGCACAGTGAAAAAGCACATTGGGCTTAAAGTCAAGAGACACAGGTTTGTGTCTCAAATCTTACACTTCCCAGCTATGTGATGTTGGACAAGACACTTAATGCCTCTGGATCTTAGTTTCCTTATCTGGAAATTTAATAATAATACTCATACTGTGAACCTCATGGGGTTGTTGTGAGGAAAGGTCATTGTAAGCTATAAAGTACTATAAAATACTTTATTTTTGTTAGCAATAAAAATGTTATAAATGGGCAGTTGGTTAGGTGATATTATTATAGAGATTTACAACTTTATGAGGTGGTTTGGCTGTAATTCATTAACTATATTCTTATGAAATGATGGCGTTTGGGACAAGATCATAGGATTATATACAGGATTTAGACTGGAAGGGACCATAGAGATCATCTGGTCCAATACTTTCATTGTACAGAGAAGGAAATAGGGCCAAGTAGGGGAAATAATTTGTCCACAGGTCACAAGAATGAAATTCAATGTTTGAACTCAGGCTCCTTGATTACAAATCCAGCTTTTCTCTTACTGTGCTACAGAGCCAATGTCTGTCTGGTCTAAGACTATGAGAACCATATGCTTACCTGATGGTGCAATTACTTCCCAACCTTTTCACAATGTTAAACATCCCTTTTTCTTCTCCCTAAATCCTATGTGGCATGGAACAATTCTCCTAATTTAGGAATCACTTATATCCCAGATTTCATGGATAAGTCCATTGTTTGTAACTCAGAACTCATTTGTCCAGTAGGAACCACATCATCTGTAGGAGTTAGGCTCCTGGCCCAACCCACAGAGTCTGTGTAATCCAAAATGTCCTAGGGGATCATGGGTCTCTAAGGTACAAAGAATCATCCTAGAAACCAACCCCCTCATTTTGCAGAAAAGGAAAAGGAGACGGAGTCATAAGATCACGGATTTAGTCCTGAAAGAGACATACAGGGAAGTTGTGGGGTCCAACTTTCTTATTTTACAGATGAGGGACCTGAGGGGAAGTAACAGGCCCGAGATCATACTGCTAATAAATAGCAAGACTGGAATTCAAAGCCACATATTCCATCTCCAGCACTTTCCCCACTATATCCCACTCCTGTGCCATCAATGGGCCTCAGTAGTCCCTGACTACCATTAGTAACAGTGTTTCTATAGGACAGTGTTTTTAGAATTCTGACTTATTTTCCTTCTGAATTCTAGCTGGCATAACAATAAAAAGTAAAGTTTGCAAAGCAATACACACATGCACACACACACACACACACACATATATATACTTATT